TTTCTTTCTTTCTTTCTTTCTTTCTTTCTTTCTTTCTTTCTTTCTTTTTCGGTTTTTCGAGACAAGGTCTCTCTGTAGCTTTGTAGTCTGTCCTGGAACTAGCTCTTGTAGACTAGGCTGGCCTCAGACTCACAGAGATTCGCCTGCTTCTGCCTCCTGAGTGCTGGGATTAAAGGCGTGTGCCACCTCTGCCTGGCCTGGAAACTGTATTTCTAATTCTATAGCTCACTTTGTAAAATGTTTAAGGTCGGAGTCTCTGAGCATGTCGGGCACGCTGACGGAGACATAAAAGGTAGAGAGTGTCTATAGAAAGTCCATTCAGCTGAGGCTCAGAGAACTGAGGTGTTGTCAGTCCTTGCTACAGCTGCTCTGGGCTTTTAACTCAGACCCAAATACTCTGCAAGTTTTAAGGCCAAATCGGCTCCCCACACCAAGAAGTCACCTGGCCAGTTCTGTGACTGCCAGAGCATCCTCAGACAGGCTGGGGCTCATCAGTGTCACTGTTTAAAGAACTGCTTTAAGGAATCCACTTTACTTTCGTGCTTGGTGAGATCGACCTTTAAACATGCAACGTGGTCATTTTATTAGTGTGATAATAATGAAAATTCTCTATATGCTCTGACCTGACTTTCTCTATTCTGACACCTAACACTAGGACAAATTGCATCAAATTGCCATCTTGATACCTCTAGGCACCTTAAACGAAATGTCTCTAAACCTGTCGGTTTTTAACCCTAAAGCACTTCTTGCAATCTTGCCTATTTTAGAAAATGACAACTCCAGTTGCCTCCTGACTTCTTTTTTTTCCTCGCATAGAATGCATCAGAGAACAGTGCCCGGTCCTCCTCCAGAACCCTCTGGAGCCAATCACTCCTCAGCATGTCCCACCACTGTGCCAGCACAAGTCACTCTTTGAGATCTTCACGTTATTTTTGTAGATCCTTAATTGCTCTCCTTGCGTCTCCACTTCCTCTAGTACTGTCAGAATAGACCTCGATGTTCTCACATAATACCACATTTTTCTGTCCAAAACACTTCCAGAAACTTTCCTCTCATCCAAATTAAACCGCAAGGCTACCAATACTCTCCCCTCGCCCTGCCATGATCCCATTCTTTCGCTGTCTACTTCCCCCACCCCTCTACACCCTTGAAGAGCTCACTGTTATTTTTGAGCCCATCAAACACCATCCTGTCTGTGCTGCTGGACCTGCGTGTCCTTCCTGACACCAACAACTGGTCCCCAAACATCATTCAAGCTCCTCACTCTCTGGGGACTATAGCTAGACATCATCTTGCTGGAACAGTTGACTCCAACATAAGACAGCACCTGTGCAAAGGGAATCGCCTTCTCATCTACTGTTCTTTCTCCCTCTGTAACGTGTTAACTTGACGCAATCTACAACGTGAGAATTCCGTGTTCTCCAATTCCACCATGCATGCAAGAATCTGGCCTAGTTCCCACTTGTCTAGTCCAAGTCTGGAAAGCTGTATAATAATAGGTAAACATAGTCGGTATTATTGCTAAGTGAAAGACTACTGTGGAACCTTCCTTATGGGGACGTTATGTGTTGGGAGGGGAACACCGCAAGGTTTTCTTTCAAGGAGCTACCAGCTCAGTGGTCCGAGTCATGCCCCTGGAGGTGTGAGGAGTCGAGCTGGAAGGAAACCATGATTAACACAAGGCTGAAAGCTTGTTAGTGCCTATCCACATGGCGAACTGAATTCCAGGCTCCCTGAAGATCTGCCTAGTGGAAATCAAGATTTTCTGGTTAATTGTTTTCTCAGAGCCACACAGAAGCAAGCTGCAGACAGACTGACTGCCTTGTCAGCACTCAATGCCTCGGACACACAGACCTCTCCCAAGGATGCTCTTCGACAAAACTGTGATATAAACTTCCCAGTCAGGAGATCACCTCATAAACGCAGCCCGCAGACTGTCGTTCAAATGTCTCCCATTTATTTATCTTTCCATCGACACCAGGACCCCGTCCAGAATAATTTGCTGGTTTAGCTGTGACAACAGATTCTCTTCAAGTGGGATCTCTAGTTCTGTCTTTCACTGGCCTCAGAGTGTCAGCATAGCCCTTTCGTTTCGTAGCATAGCTCCGGAGCCCATTTTGTGTTTCCTGGTGTGCAGACCTGGGGTGTGGATGTGAGAAGATGCCGCTGTGGCTGCCCGTGCACCTCACCAAGAGGCAAACCCTGGGGTTCGTCCTATGGCTGGTAGTCTGCACCATGAACACGCAGTCTGCTTTGAGTCTTCCACGGTTCTCTTCAGTAAATAGCAGCTGCCCCTTGTAAAACAGTATTTTTAGAAGATAGTGGGCTAACGCCCTACTTAGCATCGAATGCCTACCTCCTCAGCTTTGTTGCCTGCCCATGACTCCCACCTGACACCAACCCTGTCAAACAGAGCCTTTCTGTGCCATCACCCCCCAGGAGCAGGCGTCCCCATAGTTCAGAAGCACAGCTTCTTCTCCCTAACTTGTTTACGTCATCGTTTCTTTATATCAGCATAGGTCCACTTCTTCTTTGTTAAGTTTTTTTAAAATATTTATTTATTATGTATACAATATTCTTTCTGTGTGTATGCCTGAAGGCCAGAAGAGGGCACCAGACCTCATTACAGATGGTTGTGAGCCACCATGTGGTTGCTGGGAATTGAACTCAGGACCTTTGGAAGAGCAGCCAGTGCTCTTAATCTCTGAGCCATCTCTCCAGCCCTCTTTGTTAGGTTTTAATCAATTACTATCTTCATTCCAATGTTTAAGTTCTGAGAGCCCTTTCCAACAGGACTCTGTGTGCTTGTGACATACTCTAATCATGCTTTTTGAAAATGTTCCTATGATAACGTTCCGGATTCATTTGTACATCCTTGGACGCAGCCCCAGACTCAACCCTGACTCCGTATAAGGGAGGGGGCCTATCTGTATAAGAAAAGGAGGCATGGAGAAAGCAAGATGTTTGGCCCTCTGGTGCATCCTTTGCTTCCAGGCTCTGAACAGAAGGAGTGCTGTGTGTCTCTCCCCATGCATGCACTCATACACATATAAACATAGGTGATAGCTTTTAAAAAAAGAATTCCAAATTAATTTTAACCCAATCCAAAATTTCAAGATTCTTTAAAACCTTCTTTATTTGCAAATTCTGCTACCCATTGCATAAATAGATAAACAATAAACAAAACTTGCCCCCTGCTTTATTTAAATTTTACTTGTTTGATCCATAGCCCCAATTTGCCAATCTCTTGGTCTAAGCTACCTCCTCAACCTTCTGCCCTAGCTTTTTGGAGGAAAATTGAGGGGATGGTGTGCTGTTGTATTCTTAACGATACCTCCTCAAACCCTGAGGCTGGGGGGAAATGCTAAGAGGTAGAGAGATTCAGAGCATCCTCCTGGGGACCTGTAGTCCATGGGCTCTTCTCCCAGGTCCTGGGGCGCAGAAGCCAGAGGCCACACCCACCTACCCAACATTGTTCTAATTACCTAAAAGTCTATTTTTTAAAACAAGGAATAAGCTGGAAGCGCATACAAATCCAGCGCATCAAATACTGTAGAGCCAGATTCTTCTAAGTCACTGTGTGTCTGCTTCTAATTTGGATACACCTGGGTTCTCTCAGCTCCCCTAGCAACCAGGAGCTGCCCAGAGAAGCTGCGAGGCTAAGTAGACAAGAAGGCGGTACACGTGTTAAGGTCCTGGGGAAAGCGAACTCTTTTTTTTTTCTTTTAATGAATTGGACTTTGTTTCCCTGAACGACACCACGTGGAAAGAATAATGGGGGAGATTGGGAACCCTGACATAAATATATAAGAAAACAGACACTTTCTATTACTGGTATCTGAAGCTATGGAAACCACGGGTGAGGAGGTGTAACCACCACCCAGACATCTCATTGGTAAGGAATTCTGCTGTTCAACACGACTCTAGGGAAACTATTCTCTGCTGGCTTAATCTCTGTGCACAGCTGGAGAACGCACTCTGAAACGGCAACCCAAACATGACCCAAACATGCCTCCTCGCCTGCTGACACTGTCAGTCAGTCCTCTATGGTAGGTCGTGGCTGCTAGAAAGAGAACACAGTTGCAAAACGTCCCTCTTGGAGTCTTAAAATCTGAGAAAGGACACATTTTCTACGAAACAATGGCCACGTATTGACTTCCAGATGAGAGGAGGGTTGTCTCCCCTATCTACACAACAGACTGGTCCCTAGACCAGCAAGCGCACATCGCCAACGACCCCACCCCCGACCCAAAAAACCTGCCTTAGAGCGGATCAGTCCTGATTTTAAAAAGGGATTCTGACAGCCACTGTTCTAGATATTCAGTACTAGGGGAAAGGGCCTCGTGAACAACCAGACCTGAGACCCTCTTCACATCTTCCAGAAAATGGAAAGGCTGTGCAAGAGAGGTACAAACACTTCGCTGCGCTTAATTCCCTGGCAGTTGTGCCCAACGCAAAAGCCCAAACAAAGTTTTTTTCCGTTTTGCCCCAACTGATGGAAGTGGCAGGCTGAGACTGAATTTGAGGCCCGGCAGAGGTCGCTGATGCCCAGGAAGAGAGAAAGAATGAGTGTGGCAAGGGGAGACCAGGAGCTTTGACATCATACTAAGCTCCTCCTTGCACGCACGCATTACACACACACACACACACACACACACACACACACACATCATATACAGTCACACACAAATCGTTGTACCCTTCTCCGCACGCCCCCATCCCATCCGCCCCATACCGTCCTCTCCCTCAGCAAGTAGGTGTCCCGGGCGTAGCCACCTAGTCGGGTCAGGGGTGCAGCGCCCACTGCTTAAGTAACCCACGCGTAGCGGAGCAATCGGCGTGACTACAGTCCCAGTGCCCGGGACCTCAAGCAACCTGCTCCCGCCCCGCCCGGCCTCTACGAGCAGAACCGCCACCCCTTCCAAACTCCAGGACCCCCGCCACCCCTATGAGAGAAGGCGACGCAGAGCAAAGGAGCAGGACGCCCGGCAGCCCGACTTCCCCGCAAGCGCGCGCAGCGCCCGCTCCGTGTCGCCGCCGCGATCACCCGTGAAGCCCGATGCCAGCGCCGCGCATCGGCTGAGAGGGGACAGGGCCGGCTTCACCAGCTTCCCCGGAATCCGGTCTCCGCCGCGGCTGCGTGTCCCAGCTGGGGCCCCGCCGGCCCGGGAGTGAGCCGCTGCGACCGACCGGGGGTTGGCCCGGGCAGAGGAAGGAGGGACGGAACGGAAGGAGGGCACAGGGGGCGGGAAGGGGACCCTGGAGGAGAGGGATGGCAATGTCTCTCATCCAAGCGTGCCGCAGTCTGGCTCTCTCAACATGGCTGCTTTCCTTTTGTTTCGTGCATCTGCTCTGCCTGGACTTCACGGTGGCGGAGAAGGAGGAATGGTACACCGCCTTCGTGAACATCACCTATGCCGAGCCCGAGCCGGGGACAGCGGTGGCGGGCGGCGGTAGCGGCGCCGAGCTGCACACGGAGAAGACCGAGTGCGGACGGTACGGCGAGCACTCGCCCAAGCAGGATGCGCGCGGCGAGGTGGTCATGGCCAGCTCGGCCCACGATCGCCTGGCTTGCGACCCCAACACCAAGTTCGCCGCTCCGGCCCACGGCAAGCACTGGATAGCTCTGATCCCCAAGGGCAACTGCACCTACAAGGATAAGATCCGGAACGCGTTCCTGCAAAATGCATCTGCCGTGGTCATCTTCAACGTGGGTTCCAATACCAACGAGACCATCACCATGCCCCACGCAGGTGAGTGACCGGGGAAGGAGGGGGGTTGGGATGCTTGACGAATGTGGGGGAGGGGAGCCCGAGAAACGTTTGGGAGACCCAGCGCAGCCTCCTGGGCACCTCCACTTGGAAAGTCCTTGCAGCACCGGAGACCCGTCTCTTATATATGAACCTACTAAGTTTTGTTATGCGTCGCTCGGACAGGGAAGGAGGCTACAAGCAGGAGAGATTTCAGTATGTTGGAGAATATTAGAGAGTCTAGTTTGGGAGAGGGTTCACAGTGGTGGGGAATTCCCAGGAGAACTTGGGAAGTGACGTTTGGGGGACAAGGCTGGCGCATTCTTGTTAGTGACCCGCCCTGGCACCTGTTTGGACCCAGAAGATCTGATAACTCAGCTGTGTGCCTCTCTGTGCGCATCAGATATGCATACCCGGTGCCGAGTGTTTGGGTAGCAAGGGACAGGTCAGGTTACCTGCCTGCAGCTGACCACTTGCAAATGCTCCCACAAAGTCAGGTTTCAGCCCTTCTCGGGAGCCCCTTCTTCCCCTTGTTGACTTTGCCCAGACCGTAAATCATATTCAATATACCGGCTCTGCCGGGCTGTCATCTCGAGAAGCGAACTGGCCGGGTGAAGAATAGCAATGCCCACCAAGTCAGGAAGAGCCGTGAAGTTGGACTTACTTTCCACTGCTGTGCTGGCCCTCGCCTGCCTGTTTCGGTATGCGGAGTACGGCAGGGCAGAAGGGAGCATTGTGGGCGATCACAGGGACCAGGACTAGAAATAAACCTTCGACACAGTCTGTAAGCAGTGTTTCAGAGAGAAGAGTAACAGAAGCAACAAGGCTGTGTTGCTTACAATTGTTAGCACAAGCCACTGGTTTAGGAAACCACCCCCCTTGAGTGTAAGTTTCTACAGAGGTGCCTGAGAGGTGAGTCCTTTCCCCTCACAGGGTTTTCTGAGTGGAGTAGCCCAATCAAAACTATTAGAGCAAGTAAAGGGCAGATTTTTAATCAGCAGACTATTGAGATAGAACTCCTGGGGTGGCTGTGTGCAGCCCTGCTTTCTTTAGAGAGAGGTTTTCCTTTCAAAAACTCTTATTGTCTATTAGTGAAACATACAGCTCCATACAATTAATTCGCCCCAGGTAATCAACACCAGCTGTTATAGTCAAGGGCATTTGACAACCTTCAGACAAACAGGTTGGGAGCGGAAATGCCAGAAGCTTATGAAAAACAGGCCAGAAAACGGCGCTGCTTTTGTTAAGAGAGGCCGTTACCTTCTTAGAAAAGTTCCAGCCCTGCATGTGAGAGGCATTTGCTGTATTTCTTTGAGCTCAACCATTCTCCCAGGAAGAGGCCTGTTGTCTGACCTTGAGTCATGGGACCACTGCTTAAACTTGATCTCCGAGGATGTCGCACCGTGGAATAGTGCTCCGAGTCTCGAAGAGCACTTCTCAGTTAACATTTAGTAAGGAAAATACAGACTCGGGAGTGGGAAGTAGGGCCTGCAGGGGTCATTCCGGGTTCTGTAAACACTGAGGTGGTTAGCTGAATGTACAGGATTCCTTAAATGCTTTTCTGAGTCTGGACATGGAATCCTAAACTGCGTCGCTCTGCGCACAACAGAATAGTTATCATTTGTTCCTGTTCAAGAGAATGTTTTCAGAACCGCAGACACATTGGATCAATTAATGGCTCACCCATACTTGAAGAGAGCATAATTTGATTTTCTACACAAAGGATGCTTAAGGCATGCTGAGAGGGAAAGACTTGGTGACAGTCTAAAAGTTAGAAACCCCCAGAATGTATTTTTCCGTCTTCAAAAAAAAAAAAACCGTTAAAGTTGCATCTGCTGTTAGCGGTGGACTCCCTGTCATGCCTTGGAGAGGGTCTCACATTAGTCAGAGCAGGAGTCCACTACGGGACAGGGTGATGTACAGGATGAGCACACCGGCCTGCCAATCAATGACTGACACTTGGTCTAGAACCCGAAGACTCCATTTATCCTTATTACATGCATGTCAGAATTGGGAATTTACGTAGGAAACCATGTACAGGTTAGATGTCAATGGAATATTCCCATTTCGTGAGCTTGAACGCAGGACACCAGGGGACACAGTTGTGGCCTTTTTAATGTAGTCCCTGAGGAATTTGGAGCAAAGTTAAAAACTAACATTGCCTTGCCTTTCCACCGATGCCCTGATTTCTGGAGCTGATAGCTTTGGGGAAAAAAGGCTTGGAATTGGAATTCCGGAGCCCACTAGTGTCTGTGCATCTGGTATGATATACCACTAACACACCCAAAAAATACAGGTTCAATTAAATAGAAATTATTTCCTTCCCTCCCTCTCTTTTTGTCTGTGTTCTTTCTGATGTTTCCTTTTTGAGTTTCTGCCACTTCTGCTGCTGTCACTTCTCAGTCACAAAGATGTGGACATTCCTGATGCAAATGTCAGTTTATTTAATAGTGGGTTGCTCGGCTTCACTGGTATATGGTTTTCACACTATGAAATTCATTCTTCAGACAGTATCATACTGCTTCACATACTGGCTGAGCTAGGTGCTCCCTATACTGCCTGATCCCAAGGACACGTCTACCTGTTTGCAGTTGTTCGGCTGTACCTGTGCAGCCCGCCCCCATCAAATGCTAGCCTGCTTGCTTTCCTCCATCTCTGTGTATTTGTCTCTTGTGTACAGAATATAGATGCTTTCTCCATTATGCAGACTTGGTCTAGTTTCTTTCGCATACCACACTCTTCCCTGGGTTTACCGTGGTTGTATTGAGTGCCGCTGATTGCTGTTTTATTTATTTTTACTGCCAAATAGTATTTCACATTTTATTTATTGTAAATTGATGGGCATTAGGTCATGCGCACATGCGCGTGCGCGTGTGTGTGTATGTGTGTGTGTGTGCACTTCTGTACATGTGTGTATTTCTCTTAGGTTTATTTTGAGGAGTAGAATTTCTGGGTTCCATGGCCGCTCTGTGACTTTTGAGGAACCGCCACATCCCTTCCTAGTGCTGGTTAGTTTCTCAACAAGTGTCAGCTCGGCAGAGTCTGGGATCATCTGGGGAGAGGGAGCCTCAGTTGAGAGAATGCTCAGTAAGATTGGCCTGTAGGGTATTTTTCTTGATTAATGATGTGTGAGGGTCCAGCCCACCGTGGGTAGTGCCGTGCCAGGGCAGATGGTCCTGGGAGGTAAAATAAATCAACCTGGGCATGACCGTGGCAAGCAAGTCAGGAAGCAGTGTTCCCCTGTGGTCTCCACCTCCATGTCTTGAATTCCTGTCCTGACTTCCCTCGGTGATGCACTGTGACCTGAAGGTTGTAAGATGAGATAAATGCTGTCTTTCCTGGGTTGATTTCAACCATGGTCTTTATCACAGCCACAGAGAGCAGACCAGGGCTTTCGTTAAGTATCTCAGCCATTTCTTATTACTGCCACCCGTGATGGGTGTCAGTCCCTGGACCTCCTCCTTGGGACTTGATAACCACGTATAAATCAAGGTCAGTGTGAGGTGTGAGGTGGTGTCTTCATTATGGTTTCATTTTGATGACAGTTATTTTTCTTTCAGGCATGGTCTTGCCATAGAGCCCAGGCTGGCTGCAAACCCACAACCCCCGGGCGTCAGCTACGGAACCCAGCAGTTAGAGCTGTGCCACTGTGCCCAGCTCAACAGTTCCTTCTTTGGAACACGCTCTTGAGTCAACGCTTCCCTTTTCATTTTGTTCTCCTGCCCACATTTGTCAGCCCGCATTTGCTCTTTCCTAGACTTTCGATTCATGTCGTTTTTTGTCCAGGAGAGGTGGGAAAGAAGGAAAAGGAGCGGGCGGAAGAGACAGGGGGAGCGGGAGAGGGAAGAAATGCGTACTTCTCAGCGAGGGCAGGTACAGTTGAGTTTGTGTGTCCTCTACAGAGAGGTAGGAGGTGCAGCGTCTTTAGAGAAAGCCTCCAGGAACCAGAGCAAGGAGCTCTGTGCCGCCTTCCCCTGGTGCAAGCCCAGATGCTCACAAAAGTTGGCCTGAGGCTGGCCTAAGAGCTCTCTTCCACTGTTCTTTGAGGGAAGGGCATCAGGCCTTCGTGGGGAGCAGATTAACCGGAACGTGACTCTAGAGGAGACCACTTGGCTTGTATCCTGGCTTTGCCGTTTTCATGCTGTGTGAGTTTGAGTAACTTGTTCAACCTCCCAGGGCTTAAGTGTCCTCCCCTGTGACAGAGGGTTCACCTGGATTGATAGCTACGTGACTATCATGGGTTAGTAGACAGGTGTCTCCATCTTACCTACATCTGAGCTGGCACTCGGCAAAGGTCTCTCATTGAACCCGGAACTCACCATTTTGGGGTAGGATAGTTGGTAGGATAGCTGTCACCACCCGCTTGGGTTGGCTTTTGTATATGGTTGCCGGGGATCTGAACTCAGGTTTTTGTGATTGAAAACGCTTGATCCATTGGTTCCTCTCCCCAGCCCCAATGTCAACTGTTATAACTCAGTGACACATAGCAACATTAAGCAGCTATAGAATAGACCACCATATCCCTAGCTCTGGAAACCTTAAGAAAGAACCTGTAAGTCATTCTTTTATGCTTTAGTGACAGAGCAGCCATCACATTCCCATCGGCCACCTCCACTGTTGGAAAGAGGATGCTCTGCCCTCAGATCATCTGGGAGCTTTGTATGCAATGATGTCATCACTGTGAGAATCAGCTTGCTACCTGTGGTAAATCCCCATGTGAGCAGCTATCCGTACCTGAGTTACTTTATGGAAGAAGTGATATTTTCCCCCATTTCAAAGGATGGACTTGTTAGCTTTCTGTTTATTGATCACTAATACGTAGTTAAAGGTAGATGAATCTCTACTTGTCTAGGAAGGACTTTTGATGGCACCTGAGAGATGGGGGAAGGGAAGGGAGGTTGCATAAGCTGCGGATCATCTTTAGTTTTTGAAAAGAGGAACTTACTATTTTTGTTTCCAGTTTTTTCCTTTTCTTTGTTTAAATTTTATTTTATTAATATTTT